CCGGGGTTGCCAGCCAGGCCCGCGCCCCAGGGCCTACTCAGCCCCACGACGGCGCCCGCCGGCCTCAGCCTGGACGGGCAGCGCCAGAGGTGAGCGGGTTGGGCGGGTCGGGGTGGCCTAGAGGCCTATGCTACGCGCGCGCCCGGTGTGTGACCCCAGGCACAGGTGGTGGTAGCTGAATCCTTCCCCACAGCTGACGGGGTGGTAGACCTGTGGGCTCGGTGGACCTGGACATGATTGGGGTGAAGTGGATCCATTCACCCAGCACACAAGTGTGATCACCTGGGATCCATCAGCTAGCATTTAGAGGTCTGGGTGATCCGGACTAGTCAGCCCAGGACATAAGGGCCAGGATGACCTGAGCCCACCAGCCCAGGAGAGGCCCTAGGCTCCATCATTCCAGTACTTAAAGGGCTCATCTCCCCAGCCTGCAAGAGTCAGAGCGCCTTGTAGTCCCGTCTGCCCTTGACTTGACTGCGATGATCTGGCAGCATCAGTCCAGAATACAGGCGACAAAATTGGGGTTAACTGAAGCTTGTCAGACTCCAGACACAGGGACTAGTTCTATTAAAGCTGTCCCCTCCCTATATGGGGTCAGTTCTTCACCTTGAGAGTCCCCTGAACGTGGATTTCGGGGTCCCCTCAGCCTCGCTAACTTCAGATATATCCATTCTGTCTGTTCTATCAGTGCCCAAAGCACTGTGACTCACAGACACTTCTTACGTGCTGTGTGTTCACCTCAGCTTGTGAACAAGAGTCTCGCCCACACTTTCTCAACTGTGCTGAGCCTTGTACACCTGCCCAGACCCTCCTCCTTGCCGTCACACACCCGCTGGACACAGGACCTGTCTGTCACATTGCACTCTGTACTTCTTCTCTGCCTGCGTCATTTCTAGGGGCTCCTCAGTTTAACTAACCCAGGGCAGCTCTTATTCCTAATCACTGCCCCTCCCCCCCATAAGTTCCCAGTGTCCACAGTTACCAGCTACCATGTAGGTCTCAGCCTCCTCCTCAGCACCCTCTTACATTCTCAGTCGTCACCTGAAGAGTAACAATAGGAACTGAATCTGGCCATTATGGTCCCTTTCTATAGGTCCCACTGCTATAGGGCAGGACTCCTGCCAGGTAGTTCCCAGTGGTGGGAAGCCCTGGGTCCATCTAGCCTGGGTAAGCTGTAGGCTCACAGTGATGAAGTGCCTCCCAGGTCTGTGATGGGGAGAGTTCTCTGACATCTGACCGTGTATCTCGTGTCTGTGTGTCCACAAGGGCCTGAACTCTCTGTGGTCACCACCTTAGCCTGCAGGTTGGGGCCAGGCCGTGCTTCTCCACAGGACCCAGAAGGATTCACTGGGAACAAGGATCAGTTTGTCTCAGAGTAAGAGCAGGCTGGAGTTTGTGTGGTGAGGCACCCTGTGCTAGCTCCTCCAGTGAGCTATCTCCTGCCTCCTAGTTCTGCTTTCCAGTTCATTCTGATAACTGTGCTACCGCCCACAACTGCAGCTGCCTGTGGCAGACATCTTTTCTTCTAGGGCTCTGCTTCTAAGTTCTTGACTAGAGTTGTTATCCTTCCTCTCACGGGCCCAGGCCCTTAGGAAGAAGACTGTCTACCCTCTCTCAACTCCCATCCTGTGGCTAGGAGAGACAGCAGTGACTGGCCTGTTAAACTGGGCTACTGGCTCCCAAGTTTCCCTGATGGATTGGAATGTTTTGTTTTATGTGCATTGTTGTTCTGTGGGCATGCCACTCTGTGGGCAAGCAGAGTGT